AAAAAATATGTATATTATCCGGTATTCAAAATTGTCCGTAACATTTTTATGATGTACGTACTGATATTTTATCAATCATTAATGTTTTGATGATAACATATAAATAATACCCACACATACACATACATATAAGTATACATAATCTGATGTAAATATTAATGATATTATTAAAGAAGTTCTTAAATATAAATATAAAGTTAACATGATAATCGTATTATAAACAACTATGTTAATAAATATATATATATTTATAAATAATGCGTCAAACATTAAAATGTGACATGAAAGAATTTGTTGCAATATTGGAGAAGTGTACGTAAAATAAGACAAATGGAAATCATGGTGTCGCGAAATTAAACTGCATGTTCGTGTATAAATCACGGAAAAGATCCGCTGTAAAAGAAAATAGAAAAAAAGTACTTAATTGAAACCCAAAGCCATTTGTTTGAAAACGCCATCCGTCTTCACTATCGCTCTTTGTCATTTCATTACTCCTATCGTTCATTGTGCAATGGTCTTCAATGAAATCATTTTAAATCCATATCGTATAATATCGTAATATCCATATCATACAGCCAATTTTTGAACATTAAAATCAAACGCTATTCAGGATATATTCATATTTATTTAAATATTATTCTGATAAAGTCCACAACCTATTGAATATTAACGGCATAGTCATATATAAATATAAATTGAATATATAGGTATTTTTCGATTCGATAGTTGATGAAAATTCGAAATTGAATTCTGCTAAGTCCGAGTTATACATTTATTTTTCACTTATATTTCACGGGCACTGGTCAAAAATAATTATAATAGTTCTGGCAAAAAGTTTTCCAAGCAAATTAAGATTCAATAGAACGATTGAGCTAACCATTTGAAAAAGCTTAAATATAATAAAGTTTTAATGAAGTATCCATACGTCCGATGATGAAATTTTCGAATGAGTTGTGATAATTGGTTTAAAATATTTGCCAAGAAAAACGTATAAAATCGTTAACAATTTTTTTCAAGTAAAAAAAACAAAAAAAATTAATGATAGTTCTTCTAGATGGTAATAGTAGTAATTTGATCGTCAAATAATTCGTTCGTTAGTAATAGTTCTTTCGATTCAGCTTTACGCACACGAGTTTTCTCAGAAGCATAATAAAAATGAACTTTGTACCACTTAAATAACAAACAAACAACTAACAACTACTACTATACGAGCACTTGTTTCTCTGTAGTGCGTTCGAATTGTTGGCGTTTCGAATGTTTCCGTTATTAATAAATTCTCGAGACATTTTGAAGTTATACGTTTTGATACGGCACACCCAATCACATTTTCTGTTCTATTCAGTGCAATGATTTTTTTGAGCAAAGATAAATCTACTCGAATAACATCCGAACACCTATAAATATATAATAATATGTATAATGGACGATAATCGAAACTCATTATAGGCACATGCATAATAAACCTTACTAAGTGTACAGAGTTTTTAGCTGTCGTTTACTGGAGTGTATTGTCCTAGATGTACACCTATGGTTGTTTCTCATTACGCCAAAGACAACATTTCTGCCAATCATACACCTTAAATACGATTAAATTTTCCATGGTCTATAATATTTGTCGTAACTTTCATATGAATACAATATATAAACGTTTAGGGTTCTATTAAAACTTAATAGTTGTTTACTGTGGTGATGTGAATTTTTAAAAATCAAATCGACGTGTATTTCGAATACAATTAAAACGTCTATACGTACGCGTTTATTATTATAACGTACAGGATGTGGTGGCCAACATTTTCCTCGATTTTCTCGATTTAAATATATTGTATTATGTAAAAACGGAAAAACCCAGTAATATAAGTTCGCTAGCGATGTAGTTTGACGTGCGAAGAGTTTTTTCCTTTCTTCTAACAACATTCTTCTGAAATATATGCACACGTCTACTTCCCCTGTCAGCCGTGTCGACATGTCGTCCACAAATTTTGTGTCCACATTTTTGCTTCACGATTTAGCGTATTATACACAAGTAGGATTTTACTCATCGTACGTGGAGCTGTTTTGGGAAAGTTTTCTTTAGTTTTTGGTTAGTTTCCAATTGAAAATAAAACTTTATTTAAAGAAAAATTCTATATGGTATACCGACAAAGACTCGCGTTTCTTTCGTCGATACCGATTGATTAGCGGTCGCTCGGTGATGCTTACTCGTCAAAACCATCGAAACATTGCGTTCGACGCGCAATAAATACCGAGGCACAAACGTAATAGCTTTAACCGCCCGGAAATCATTGTACATTGATTAGACTCGATTGTGTCGTCGATCAAAATTCGTCGTTTATGTAACATTCTAACGGCTGCTGCCTCGAAATAAAATTGCACGCGAGAAATCCTACTAGACGTCTAATCGAATTAATTTGAATTCAATTTGTTGCCGTCCCATCGCGCATAGAGCTGAGTTCTAAGGTCCTTTTGTCATTCGATCGCCTCTTGCTTGTCACACGGCTTCAATGTCACACGTTGGGGTCTTTTGACGTAAAACCAAGTGCCTTAACAAGTAGTAATTTATACAACGTATTTTAATATAATTTTACTGGATTTCGATTTTTGCTGCGCTGTGGGGATTCTCTGATTTTCGTGTGGGCATCCTCAGAAAACTGTATTGTAGTTATATACATTATTTTATTCAGAAACCACAAACGGTTACCACTGGTTGAAAGTTATTTTTTCGAAAACAAATGAAAATTAATCAAATAAAAAACCTCCGAGTAACAATATCTCCAAGCCATTTTTCCCCCGCAGCGGTCGTTCTCGGATAGCTCCTCAATTAATTATTTCATATTCTACTATCACTTGAATAACTATGATTAATATTCTCGGACAATGAATAAAATTTAAGAATTTAGATCTAAAATACTTTTATTTTAAGTTATTTTGATTGCATTTATTTATTTATTTAAATTTTATTGATTAGTGAGCTGCATTTTATATTATACTGATTATTAAATATTCTTTTCGTAAGTAACAGTCATGGTTTGAACACTTTTCAATTTAAGAAAAATTGCCTAATAAACCACTGTCATTAAAATATAAACTAACTAATAAACAAATCTTGAAGTCAACTGGGTTGTTACCTTCTATTATAAATAGTTACTCGTTACATATTTATCTTACAAAAACGGTCCAACAACTTAAACTTATCTCAATGACATCATGAACGTATTGCTTGTATTGATTTATAAATAAAATTTTTACATTCTTAACTAATACAATGGAAAATATTTTTAAGTTGAAACCTTTTTGAAAAGGTTATTGATGAAAATGATAATCTGAAATAAATCATGTAGTTTTTATGTTTTGGTTATATGTTGATGGTGCTCAACGATATCGTATTTCAATATCGATATCGAAAATTAATATCAAGTTGTTGCAATTACTATTTATTGTAATATGAACTTTTTATTAATGTAACGATTCCAACAAAAAAATTGTCATCAATAAAAGAAATATTGTATTGTTGTTAGTTTTATAAATTATATCTAGAGGTGGATGTAATTATTTTACGGATACATGTAATAACATTTATTGCCTCAATTACTGAATATAATTGTACCTTAATCAATTTTAATTTATAGACAATTATTTTCTCGCTTTTCATTATTTTGCCTGGTTTGAAAAATTCCAATGGACATTCACGACATTTTATTGAAAATGTACAATGGTAATTTTTATGAACTATCATTATAAAAAACCATTATTTGGACAATTAAAATTTGGATAGTTAAAAAAACATTATATCGTTTTTTGTAGATATAAAATAAAGAATATTCTATTTTTTTTTTATATGAATGATGTATTTAAATAAAGTATCAAACAATTTTCCGTTCCTTAAATTTTGACGTTTTTGGCAGTTGTCTACTTTTTTTGTTTGGAAATTGGCCTCTGATTATATCAATAAGGCAATAATCGATATAAATGAACCTATATTGATAATTGTATTTATATATATCGTTGTGCAATACTAGTATCTATATTGTACAGTGTAGGTATTGGCGTGGTCATAATAAAATGGATTCTGAAAGCATCACAATGCAATGTAAAGAAAAGAGTGTAACCGAGGGCGCCCACGTAACCTGCTTATTCTGTATAGTAATTGTTTCATTGTTGAACAGAAGTGTTAAAGTTTCGGTGGTTTGCTGTTCTTAACTTTTACACAAGGAAATATTTGAAAACATTCGCTCTTCTTAACGTCCGATCGCACTCCAAAATTGCTCACGGCTGACGGTGGACGCTCGAGTATATACTTAACATAATATCTCTTAAAAGTGTCACATCATTGATTTTATAACTTGCGCAGAAACGTTTTACTGTTGATAAAATTGGTGTCGCCTGGGTGGATGCAGCTCACTGAACATAGTCGAAAATCATTTGCATTTTAATTGATCAGGACCATATTATTGTCATAATATAGAGAAGTAGCTGTAATGCTAAGCTAATAAACTTGGTGAGGCCCTGTCGCCCGAAACAATTTATATTTTTCTATTCAAATTTAGTACTAGTGCCTAATACATATTAATTTAAATAAGTATATTCATGTCAATTGTTGTACAGTCACAATTCATTGATGCTTTCTATTTGTTGGCCAACGATTATACAAATGCATTGTGGCGCTACAGTGCCCCTTAATCTATCTCTGAAATTGATAAGTTTTTCAACATGTATCACAATTTATGGTTTTCTACTGCTGAGAAAGTGTTTCTATCGATTCGAGCGCAGACCATTACAGCGGTTTCGGGGCTACTGATTAGTAACAACGTAAACCACGTGGTACGTTCAAAAAATTAAAGGTAACATCAAATTCCAAAATATCCCAACACTGTTTCGCGCCGACGTAACCGCACCCAATCGCGTAGAAGTATTCCTCTAAGTGTTTACCGGCCATCGTGAATCCGGTTCTTGTTGTTTTTTCGTCCGACGTTTAATTATTATTTTCTTGTATTTGCCCGCAGCCGAGCGATTGTCAACAATCCGGATGTGACCAGAGCCACGCCGCTGGGCGACATATGGACGAATGACTTCTGGGGCACGCCAATCGGTTCGAGCAACTCGCACGGTTCGTACCGGCCACTGTGCGTGGCCTCATTCCGCCTGAACCACTGGACCGGTGGCCTGGACCCGAAGGGCTACCACGTAGCCAACGTGCTGCTCCACTGCGTGGTCACGTACCTAGTGTACGCGCTGTACCGCACCCTGATGCCGCGGTGCAAGCCCGCCGTGGCTGCGGCCGTGTTCGCCGTGCACCCAGTGCACGCGGAGGCCGTGGCCGGCGTGGTGGGACGCGCTGACCTGCTTGCCGGCCTGTTCTACCTGTCCGCGTTCATGTGCTATGTGACACACGTCCGGCACCGCGACCGCACCGCTGACCCGCGCCGCCGACCCGTGTGCTGCGACGCCGGATGCCATCGCAAGACGTACCGGCTGGGCTCCGCGGTACGTACCGTGTTCGCCACGCTCGGCCTGGGCACGTGCTCCAGTGACCTGGACGGGCTCCCCGGTGGTGTGACCGAGTGCTGTGCGGTCCGCGAGTGGGCCTGCCTGGCAGCCACCGTCACCATGGCGGCTGCTTCCATGCTGGCAAAGGAGACCGGCGTCACGGTGCTGGCCGTGTGTGCCGTCTACGACATACTCTTCGCCGGCAGATCCAACAACAAGGTAAGTGAAGAACCACTATTATTACGAGTATATATTAGTTTTTAGATTTTTTTCAACTGTCACCTCATTGCACCCCAAACACACGTGGTCATTGTGTTGCGTGTTCTCCGGATATTATGTTAAAAACGTATTTTTGTTTTTTTTTTCCATAAAATATGGAATTCCATGTCCCTGTTTCATTTTCGCCGCTACAAGACGGGTACACTATTTTAAATATGAAATCGAACTCAATTGGTGTGGAATCGTATAGTTTATTTTACACGTATGAATATATTTTTATAGTTTCATCTCTCTCGAGAAATGGTCATTTAGACCCACGTCCCAAGGGATAGCACCAAACTTTTTTCAATCATTATTCATCAAATCAATTTTTTACGCAAGTACATATACAAATATGTAATTACCATTTCACTATTTTAATGAGAATTCAACACTCAGGTTGCTTCTTTTGAATGGATAATTTTGTTTTTTATTTAAAAATATATGTGTTATGGCTTCATAATCGTTTTACTGTGGACTTTTTTTTACCAATGAATAAACCGAAATTCCCATTAAAACAATTGCAGTCTTATACTTTTATTAGCTTTCATTAGTTTATAGTCAAAGATGTAAAAATGGTTTATTATTTGAAGTGAAAGACGATCCAGTAAATTACTATGATCATTTTTTTTATGTTCATCCGTATTCAAAATTATTTGGCCCAATCGTTTTAAACTTGATCCCCAGCAAAAATAATTAGTCAATAAAGAAATACGTAACAATACATTTATTATCATAAGATCATTGCTTTATTTTAACTACTCTTCGAAATAAGGCCAATTCTAGAACTGTAACTCAATTACAAATGTATATTGAACAAAAAAAAAAAAAAAAAAAATTAATTCAATTTTAGGGTTCTTAAATCTAAACTTTTGATAGATGCTTGGAAAAGTTTACCACTTAAGAACTTGAACACAGACATAGACAATTCTAACTTTTGAAAGATATTAGAGAACTCCTGTCATGATTACAAATTCCCGAAGGAAGTTTATCAAACTAATCCAATAACTAACAATTCCGATATTTTAGGAGTTTCAGTTTCATTTCCATAATTGAGATATTTAACTAATTAAAAAGAAATGAATTATATCCTTTGATTCCGACGTCGAAAATAGAACGAACATGTAAAATATTTTATAGCTAATTTGTTGTTAGTTAGAAAACTAATATGAAAAACGATAAAGTTTACAGACTTTCAAATATCCTAATTGAAAAACATGAAATGAAATATAGCCAGGATATTAGTTAGTAGACTTCTACAACCATTTCGTTGAAATATTTCATAAAATAGAGCGAAAAATTTAAAACAATTTATTATGATTTCTTTAATAAAATATTTAGTTTTCCTGCATGCATTTTATTATTAAGTATGATATATAAATATAGATTATTATTATATAATAGATACTATTTTTGACACAAAAACTTACTACATAAATAAAAACTCTTCATGTCTGCTTATTATCTTATTTTAAAATTATATCTAAAAAATCGATCATTAGTCGTACGAATGGATAACAATTTCTCGTCTACTCACTCAATACATGCTGGAGTCTCACAAAGCAACAACTTATTCCCAAATATATAGAATATTTTTCTGGTAGATATACCTCAATATATTAACACTATTCTTGATTTATACACTAATGACCCTGTTATTCTCACTTCTAGGCTAAATCCCAAACAAACCTCGAAAGCACTTCAAGCTATAAAATGGGTAATTAAAAAAATACTGAAAAATCCATGCAAGTTCATTTCTTCATAAAGATATCTCCTCGATAGTGTTCCTAATAAATTATGGACATCATCCGATCCCTGTTCAAATTAAAATAAAATGTTTATGCATAATACTCAGATAAAAGACTAACCCGGAGTCCCTAATTAGAAGAAAAAACAAAAATCAGTGAATTTATCCACTCCCTCCTCAACTCCAAAATACTACTTCAAAACAAACTACTTATATATAAACCAATCATAAAACCAATTTCGTCTTATGGAATCACAATTTGTGTTTCTGTCAAGCCCTAAAACATTAGGCCAATTCAGGCATTCCAATCAGTTGCGTTATGGCTACTAACTAAAGCCTTGTGGTACGTTTCAAACGTTTCCTAGCACAAGGATTTAAAAATAAGTACTAACACCGAATTGATGCTTCATTATACAAACGTTTCAACCAAAATGTAAGCACACAAAGCAATACTCTAATATCCCATAAGTCCATTGTCATCCTCCCATAGTCCAAAGAGATTAAAACGAAAATGGTGTAAAGATCTATTAAATTAGCAAAAGAGGAGTGGTAATCAATGAGTTTCTTTCTTAATACGTTTCTTATGTTATTTTAATATTTTACAAATATTAAATTTGCTTTGTTTACAGATTCTAATTTGGCTTTTAAACGCTAAAAAATTAATAATGCTCAAAGCATAATTATTATTAAATAAACTGATGATTTGATGTGTCTGCGTATTAAAAGTTACACCATTTATAATTTATTTGAAAAAAAAGGTCATAAAATCTAATCAAATTTGAAAACCTAAAATAAATATTTTATAAATCTGATATAAAATACCATTTGATTATTTGACATGATTATAAAATCAAAAGTTTTAATATTAATTCAAAATTGTATTATTTTATATTGAGATTCGAGAGAAAAGTTTTTATAAAATTACTTTTACTGGAAGTAGCGTTTCTATTGTTTCAAAATAAAGAACAAAAAATTTCTTAATCTAAAATCACGTAAACACAACCAACGTCATAAAAAGGTTTAGTACTTGAATAACACTAAAATTTTTCACCCATTTATTCGTTGTAATTTACAATATGGTAACTTTGAATCACATCTTATTATATAGTTACAATCAGATACCGAAAGACTAAACTAAAATAATATTACGGTTTTATGTTTTTTCAAATTATTTACGTATTGTATACCATAAGTATTTAATATTTAATATATTTAATATAAGTTTTTAATATTATATCTAGAACGGAATTTTTACAGTATTTTGCATATTAATGTGAATGCAATATTTTTTTTATAGTTTTTAAGAACTCAAAAAAATATATTATTATTAAAAATCACTTACAAATAATTATTGAAACTATTTATTACTGTATCAATAAAAGTCATGCATGTGTTTTGGTGTACATAATGGCGTATTTATAGAAGGGGGTGATGGGGGTTTTAACCCTTCCTCAGAGAATTTACAGACCTCAAATTTTTAAATTTCAATCAGTTTGAAGTTTATTAATTTTTTAAATTCGAATAGAGGAAATAATTTAAAATTTATAATTGTGATTAATATTATAAATAATATTTTATAAAAACTAATAAGACTCGGGTATGATAATATTGTTGTTTTTGAGTGTGCTAATCGAAATACATTAAACGCTTCACAGACTAAGGCCTATTGCTGTATCCTATAGTTTGTAGAAACTTTTTGTCTACTAATTGTGGGCTATTCCTATTAAATTAAGATCACATTTTATTTTAGAAAATGATTTTGCTATGTTATCGATTCGTTCAGATTTCAATATTACTACCGATGGAGTTATTGACGAATTGGCAATTATTTATCATATAGTTTATAACTAATGAAATTACATTTTTCAGTAGGAAAATAACAGATAAAAATTTAATTTTAACTATTTTATACTGATTTATAAAAAAAAATGTATGACGAAACCCCCCTCTTCACCCGAAAATATTGTTTGCAAATACGTCACTGGATGTACATAATATAATTTTCGAACATCTTCCGATAATACCTCTCCATAACATGTTGAATATTTATCAACTAATTTAAAAATAAAACAATGAATGAGTAGTGTTAACTAATATACTATATTTATAATAATTGTATTTCTAATTTTTCATCATAATCATAAATAAGACAAAAACCAATATTAAAACGTGACTTGTGCAATGATTAATTAGGTACTAAAAAAAAAAAAAAATGTTAGCAACTAATAGGAAAATCAAATAAAACCATACACTTAGTTCAGCACTTGAGATACGTATTTTGTAATAATTATTTTAATTTAATAAATTTTTCCATAGGTTATCAATTTTTTTTTTTTTATTTCGTGCAATACATTAAAGTTTAAACATGTAAGAAATATCTCGTTGGTAGAAATTAGAAAATAAAAAATAATTTTTTTCATGTGTTACAACGGTCTTGAGTCGATTGAACGATGGAAACTGTAGTATTGAGGTATTATAATGGTACGTCCTAGTTGAAAACGCGCGTGATTAGGCAGAAAAGGATTAATATTTGCTATCGGGATACGGCATAGTTCATACTCATTATAAGCGATGGCGGAAGTATTGGTCTGACGTCGACTTGTTGTGTATTATTTTGCCACCTTTCTCATGCAATATATATATGTATAACGTTTACTCGGCGCCGGGAGGATTAAAACGAAATTCAAAATTACTCATTAAACGTGCGCGCTCGCGTTACATTTGCCATGAGACAGCCATTCCGGGGCATTCGGCTAATAAATAATCGGTATAGTGGTGAAAGTATAGACGGGAGGTATAGACATACGCGCACAGGAATGATTCCGGTGTGTATAGTGGGCGATGACGCGCACGCGCGCGGAAATGGTTTAGTTCGAAATTGAAAAAGTTGGTTGAGTCGAATGGTCTAAGATTTTTTTTTTATAGAAAATAGAGGTTGCGTAAACAAACCGATTTTCCCCCGAAGCCCAGCACTTGATCCGGAACTTTTTCTTTTTTTTTCTCTCTGTAGAACTTTAGACCCGTAAGCTATTTCATGTAGGTATATATGAAAGTGTACGCACACCCGCGTACGATGAATGTATACGTATACGTAATGTTTTTTACACTCGCGAGTGCATCGGCAGCCGACGCGAAAAAACTTTATTACCATTTCATCGCACTAAATTGTGTTAAAGTTTTGAGTGGAAGCAGAGAACAATGGCGTGAAGATATA